CAAATCTGTGCTCTGAAACTAGAGCTGCTTCACTGGCATTGATGCTGACTTTATCCTTCACTTCACAATCAGCCAACATGACCCTGCATATCAATGGACTACAGAGAGATGTAGGGGCGGGGCTTATTGAAGATTACGAGGAAACATTGAGTGGATGAATATTTATTATACAGGTAACAAAGATATTACAAAAATCTTCCAGTATTACATTTTGTCCAAGTTAATAATTCTGTATCAAAGCCGATTTGTGTTAGGGCTCAATGAAAATGACAAAATAATGAAAAATAACTTTCAAGGGCTAACGCAGGACAAAAACTCGTAAAACTATGTCTGGAATTTAAAGTCAAAGAAAAGTATTTTGGAGTCTGGTTTTGTTATTGCAGGAGATGGAAAATAGGATGGACCCTGTTTGTCAGCTAAGTTTGTGCCACGGACATCATTATGACCAATCTGTGGCCATATATGCAGAATGGACACACCTGGATTTATAACATTGATGTTAATTAACTAATTCATTTGCTTGCATTTACTGTGTAATAGTTCGATTGTTCATTAAACTTGATCAACCATTGGAGTTCAAATGAGTCCAAACTAAACTAGAACACATTTCTCAACAGTTGCATCAGTTCCTTGGAAACCGGGTCAGTGTGTCCTAGGATGTACATGTGTGTAGTAACATAGTACAAGGATAGGTTGGGGTAAATTTAACCAAAGTGTGTGTCGACATAACAATTCCTTTTTATGACAAATTGACTAACACCAAAACCCCATTATAATATTCACTATTATACAGTATCTTGTTTTATGATGAAAAGGTTACAGTTTATTTAATATTTTCTTCCTTGTGGTTATTATTGCTTCCATACTGCCGGTAAACTTTCACACACCTGTGACGCCGTTACCATCAGTGGTGTGTCTCCATAACGCACACACGCGCCTTGATTCAGTCAAATCAATCAAATCAAATATAATAACTTTTTTTTTCATACTGCAAAGGGTTGAAATCCGTTTGAAAAGCAGAGTAAAAGATTCAAGTTTACACTAAATAACTTATTATACCATGAATGGTGGTCAGATGGATGCCACAACACGTGGAATGACATCAGCTATTCACACTGCAACTTTCTTAACGACATCACAACCCACGGAAATCTCCTTATTCAGCTCAGTGCAGGAAAACAGAATTCAGCATGTGGGCCCTTCTCTCCTCTCAGACACACTCAGGTCTGTGAAGCCAAGTCTATTGGAGGAAAATAACCGAAGCAGCATTTATTCAGGAATGGATGCTGGTTAACATTAACAAATACACTGATGGGACTCCTGTGTGTCAGGAGGTCTCCTGAATGTGTAGCAGTCTGAGGAGAGCTGATAAGACCCGAGGACGACCTGCTGCTCTGGGGCTAAGTGCCAAAAATGAAACACATTACACACACATACAAAACCGGGAACCAGTCTAGAGGTTTACAAGATGGAGGCAGTGTAGACAAGACTATTTGAAAGAAATACAATGGCACATTTGTAAGGACTCGGGAAGATGCTGGGTGTTACATTTGGAAAGTTTTCAAAAAGAAATAAATGTTGGTCTTGACTCTGCTAAAGAACGCACAATGGGAAATTCAGTGGTGAATCTGATTTATAAAAAACTAAACCACAATACTGAAAGAAGAGGTGAACACAGCGTAACTGTTCTGGTGGACATTGTTATACTACAGACTGAACAGACGAACGATAATAATGAATGTTAGTATTAGGATAAGCACGGATTACTTTTATTATGCCAACACTTTTGTAACCTCCCAAAACAAAAAAAACAAACAAACAAACAAACAAAAAGGTAATGTAAAATAGTGCAAGAAATAAAATAAATAAAATAAAAGCCAGAAACTAACCCACAGAATAAGCATCGGGTGAAATAATATAACTGGATTGTAGTGTAGATTCAGTGCTGAGATGGATGAGGACCATCTGCAGCATCTAAGTACCCACAACAACAGCCTTCAACAATAACCAAACCTCAGGGTATAATTATTAATGATACACTATATGATGTTTTTGACAAAAACAGCATTGTTTCAATACATGTGAGGTCTGTAAAAAATAAACATACACTGTAACTCTGTAACTAGTTGTGTTAAAATCCACCAAACCCTGAAATACTTTGCAATAACAACCTAGGGTCAGTTTATATATTTCCACTCAGGAAGTAAACATTCAAGTATCTGTGGTGTATAATTATCATGCAGCATTTACATAAGTGTCATTATGTACAATGACACACAAACAGAAGAGGTAATTACAGAGTAATTGTTGATGCAGCTGGAGCATTTATAGATGCAAAGCTCCGTCAGTCTATGTTCCAGCCTATTTCATACTATACAATGTCATATCTCCTCTGCATTCAGAAAAATACAGTATCTATGCAGCAGCTGATTTTAAAGCCCTTTAAATTCTTTTCCATATTTTCCATATTCCATAAACAAACATGTGTTTGTTTGTTTGTCCATTGACTCCATTTTTCTCCCACAGTTCAAAAATATTTGGAATTATGTTTTTGGACACTCTTAAGTGACGTGTGAATGGGTGTCCTCTCTATGTGTCCCCAATAAATGGTTCAGCTTGTGCCCTGTCTTTGTATAAAAGACTGGTGGGATTAGCACTCCCCCCCGTGCATCCCTGAAATGGATTAAGCGGCAGAGAGTATGAATGAATTGTGAATTCAAAAGTGCACTCTTAAATTTGGTCAAAATCTAAAAACTACACTTTTCCAAATGTAGCCTTTCCTCCATGACCTCAGTCTCCACTGAGAGTGTGGTGAGATGAAGGCATTGATAACACGGATACTTTAAACAAGGACAAACAAAGACAGAGAAAGGCAATTTTTAATGAATTGTTGGATGACTGAATACAGACTAAGACAACAATGACTCGTTCTAGATGCCAACTGGCATCAAATGCCGACAACTAAACCCCAGTGTAAAACATTCAGAAAGGTTTATTGGCATATATTGAATACTGCCCCCCATAAGTATGTGTGTAATTATAATTACAATAAATATTTTTTTCCCTTTGGCAGCTCCATCCATCAGTGGTCAGCAGAGCGGATAATTCTTATATACTGTATTAATTGACACAGGTTGTGCCGTGATGCGTGTGTCTCTTGGCATAGACTGGTGACACCTCCAGTACCAGTGGGGGACTGGGCCGCAGCATGGCAAGGGCGCCCCTGTTAAAAACTTAAGTACCACCAGCACGGGGACCCAACTCGCTTCCCCCTGCAGCCAGTAGCCTGCCTGGCACACTTTCGGAGCTTAACAAGCTTCTCTCTCTATGCCTGGAGGAATTTTCTGTTTAAAAATCTGAGTACCACAGGGATGAGGACCTAATTCACTTCAACTGGCCGGGAAAGACAGACCGAAATCGGACACTGCGGCTAGTAGTTAGCCCTGCACATTTTGCGAACTTCATTAGCCTCTCGATTTATACCTGGTGGTGGTCGCCTGGCACAGGGAGGAGGGGACCAATGACAACGGAGACACATCTGTAGGATCTGTAAGTCTTATGCACAAAAAACTTCTACAAACTAATAAATGAACAAAATGTATTTGTTTTTAATATCTTATTGTTGAATACTTATTGTTGTATTTTTATATTCTTTACAATAAGAAAGAAGCCAGTAAGAAGTTTGAATCCCTTTTTAAATACAAAGGCCTACTAGGAATACATACTGGATATGCAATGAATGTATTTAATCAATTAAACATTTAATTATTTAAACATTTCCTACATTTCAATATATCTTTGCATATATTGAAAGTACAGTAGACAAACCCCATACTGTCGGTGTGACACTGATAAATAAATGCCACATTGTATTATTTTTAAATGCTCACACTGAAATGATGAGGTGAGGTTTATTTACTCCATACATGTTAAGTGACTTTTAGATTTTAAATATGTCTCTGAGATGAATCGTAACACTCATCACTGTGATGATATGTGCTGGTTCTATGCAGTATGTACAGCAGTTGACACAAATCTTATAAAAACTAAAATGTCTCAGCAGTAAGTCGTATTTCACTTCTTTTTTTTTTTAATGTTCTCCACAAAGGAATGCCTGTAAAGTCATTGTCAGCCTCAGGGGATTGCTGCTGCTAAAAAAATGCTTTTTCTTTTTGAATGACAAACCTTTGCATGGAGAGCAAAGATGTGCTGTTTAAGACACAATAAAACCATGGCCAACGTGTACATCCTGAGAGACAATGGCGCAATACACAACAAAGTACTGCAATATTTGACACAATGGACTATGACTAGTGAAAATGTACTCGTAGTCAATGGTGAACCTGTGTGAAACATAGAAATGCACACCTAGATGTTGAGCCATTAGGTTTGTAGGGATACTCATACTCGTGCTAATCTGTTTTATCTGCATGGTGTGGCACTGCGGTGTATATGATTTACTTAGTAATTAGGAAATAGAGACATATCCAATTATTGGGGTTGTGAAATATCACCCTGTTTCAGTGGTTATTCCACTACTGTCTGCACACTGCCTTATTATAACACCAGCTGCATATATGATTAGGTGTGAGTGTGAGTAAAAGAGAAATGATGGTTAGGGAGGAAATAAATGAATAAAAAGCAGAACTATGTCGAAAAAAAAAGAGACAAAGAAAATTCACAGTGTTTCTGCTCTTCTAAATAATGGCCTCAGACCACAGTCATAAGGTAACCATTACTAGATTAGACTATAGACTAGATAAGATTACTAGATACTACTACTACTACCAATAATAATAATAATAATAATAATAATAATAATAATAATAATAATAGAAACTATGGAGACTGATGAAGTCTCCTGGAATATATTGCATACAATTAAACAGAGCCTGGGGCAATATATACATATATTGTTTAATTAATATTAAGCTATTTAAAATTAAACAGAATTACATTTTATTTAACACACCTGCATAGCAACAACTTAAATTATTATTATTACTATTATTTATTATATTTATTATAAATTTATTATTATTATTACTAAAGAATATCTAGGCAACCAAAGATTTCATGAACCCACTACAGTATCTCTGTGCATCTAAAGGGTTACTGAGCTCATGTTGAACACCCTAGAAGACTCTATCTTAGGAGCATATTACACTACAATATTCATGCAAAATGTGGCTAAAATATGAATCATATTTTGCTCCTCTACTTAAAACCTCCCTGCATTTTCTAAATAACAGTCATCTGATGGACCGTTCTATGGTTTCTCTTCTCTTCCACCTTACCCCTGCCTGCAGCTCCTCCCTCTGGTCCCTAACAGGTACATACACAGTGTGACAGGGTGACAGATGTGGAAGAGACAAGTGATGCAGTGTGAAAACTGTCTCATGTGAAACATGGCAGGTGAAGGACAGAGGCTGCTCGAGTATTCAGGAAGATGGGAACACATTTGTCATGTCTGCTGCTGCTGCAGGGATAAGGAGGCCAATGCAGAACTCTTTCCAGGAGCAGTGAATTGTTAATGGATCATCAGGAGTCTGTTTACGCTCCTTTTGAGAAATTGCAGTATTTTATCTCTGGATACTCGTGCCTCGAACTTAACTATACGCGCCCCGAGGATCCTGCATAGAATTCCACAGCTCTCTGACAACAAAAACCACGCCACGGTAACAGCCGCACGTCGCCGCCTGCCGCCCTCATCAGCCTTCATTGGCTTCTTCCGCATGACTGGCGTATTTCCCCGTGGTTTCTATTGGTTCGTTGCTAATGGAGCCGTGAGTGAGTCCCAGTAAAACCAAGTCGAGGCGGAGCTCGGCGGCCGAGGCGGAGCTCTCCGTGGTACTTAAAAGGAGGTGGCGTTGAAAGAGGAGAAGTTCCAGTACGCACGACAGCCGGGCCAGCCGGTTCACGGCGCACAGCGTGACAAACAAGCCAGAAAGAAGATATCGGGAAGAAAAGCAGGATTGCAGAGGGATCTGTGAGCCCTCTGTACTAATGGAAAATAAGGATATATAACCACTCGCCCGGGGAGCACAGGTATCCACACTTCCTTTTTAATCCGTGCGCCGTGCGTAAAGACACGTCAGTCTTTATTTACAGTTCCTTCTCTCACCACACTCATTTTTTTTTTTTTTTTTTTTGCCCTTTACCCGCGGCGTTT